AATCCTCTCTCCCATATTAGATATTCCTGGCTAGAATATCTCTCTGTTTCAGGCTGGTGGATAAATAATGATCTGGAGGAGGTGACGCGGTGGAGGTGATTTTGGCAACCTTCCAATGTAAATTATATGGAAATGAGGCTTCTGCAGAGGCCAAAGGCCCCATTCGAATAGGGTGGGGAGGATTTAGTTAACATAACACTTGTGCTAAATGAAGCAGTTGACACGGTTTTCAGAGGGGAAGGGCCGGCTGCATTAATTTACCATGAGAAAGGGACCAGTCTCCAATTTAGTCTTGCAGGGGAAGGAACTTGCAATTACAAGAATGTGTGTGTGTTTTTCTCAACCCAATGCAATTTTGAGTGTTGACATTCTAAGCTGTCTTTAAAAATTACACAAGATCAGTTCAATAGTCTAGGTAAATTAGATTTCCAAGTTTCCTACTATATATATATATTTATTCTGGGACAGGAAGACTGTCACAGGGGTCCCAATTCAAGATGAACAAGTCAGAAAGAAGTATCCATAGGAGTTTTAAAGACCTATTCTTATTAATGGAAGTAAAACTGATTTCATATTTCTTTTTTATAACTCTCTCTCTCTCTCTCTCTCTCTTTTTCCCTTGCAATTTCCTCAGAGAAGCATAGTTCTGAATTTGATTGGAAAATAAAAAAAGGTTTCTGTTGAACAAGTTGTAAAAAGAAGATCCCTTTAAGAAGAGATGAAGAATCTTGAAAATTTGCTGTTGTTTATGCGTTTAGTCGCTTCCGACTCTTCGTGATCTCATGGACCAGCCCACACCAGCGCTCCCAGTCCACCTTGGCCACCCCCAGCTCCTTCAAGGTCAAGCCAGTCACTTCAAGGATAACATCCATACATCTTGCCTTTGGTCGCCCCCCTTTTCCTTTTTCCTTCCATTTTCCCCAGCATCATTATCTTCTCCAGATTTTCCTGTCTTCTCATGATGTAGCCAAAGTACTTCATCTTTGCCTCTAATATCCTTCCCTCCAATGAGCAGTCGAGCTTTATTTCCTGGAGTATGGACTGGTTGGATTTTCTGGCGGTCCAAGGCACTCTCAGAACTTTCCTCCAACACCACAGTTCAAAAGCATCTATCTTCTGTCACTCAGCCTTCCCTATGGTCTAGCTCTCACATCCATAGGTGACTGCGGGGAATACTATTGCTTTAAATATGTGGATCTTTGTTGCCAGTGTGATGACTCTATTCTTTACTATTTTATCAAGATTGGTCATTGCTCTCCACCCAACAAGTAAACGTCTTCTGATTTCCTGGCTGCAGTCTGCATCTGCAGTAAGCTTTGTGCCTAAAAATACAAAGTTTGTCACTGCCTCCGCATTTTCTCCCTCTATTTGCCAGTCATCAATCAGTATGGTTGCCATGATCTTGTTTTTTTTTTTAAATTAACTGCAACCCAGCTTTTGCACTTCATCTTGGTTAGAAGGCTCCTCAGCTCCTCCCCACTTTCAGCCATCAAAGTTGTATCATCTGCATATCTAAGGTTGTTAATGTTTCTTCCAGCAATTTTAACTCCAGCCTTGGATTCGTCAAGCCCCGCACATCAAATGATGTTTTCTGCATACAAGTTGAATAGGTTGGGTGAAAGTATACAACCCTGCCGTACACCTTTCCCAATCTTAAACCAGTCTGTTGTTCCAAGGTCTAATCTTACTGTTGCTACTTGGTCATCATAGATTCCCCAGGAGACAGACAAGGTGACTTGGTATCCCTATACCACCAAGAACTTGCCACAATTTATTATTATCCACACAGTCAAAGGCTTTAGAATAGTCAATAAAACAGAAATATATGTTTTTCTTAAACTCCCTGCCTTTCTCCATTATCCAGCGGATAAAAGCTTGAAATGTCTTGGGCTATTTCCAAGAACATACAAAAAATCTCTGTTGTTGGTCCATGTGTGCAGTGGCATATTTTGAAATGTTTGAGCCCATGATGACAGTTCTTGTGGTTGCAACTGTAAGGTAAGTCGAAAAATGCACCAGCTGATTTTAAGTATTCTATTTATTCCAAAGAATAGCAATACACAACACAATATTCAAATGATAAGGATTGTTTAACATTCATGGTGTGATCCAGTATGGTGTAGGACAAAGCTTTCCAAACATTTCATGTTGGTGACACACTTTTTAGACATGCCTCATTTTGCAACACAGTAATTCAGCTTTAACTAGCAAACTGGATATTAAACCAACTCCTTATAAGGGGTAGAAGCATATAGATACATTGTAATAACAAAATGTATGGGGACACAACATGTCCCTTTAAAACCTTTCATTTATATGTTTTGGGATATATGATTTATTGGTTATGTCACGTAGGACCTCATTCCATGAGCGGGGGCAAAGCGGAGGAAAGCAGAGGGAACTGTCTTACTCCGTTCTCTCCCACTGAGGCCTGTCTTCTGGGATGGCCAGCTCTTTCCCTGTTGAGGTCTATGTTTTTCTCTCTTCCGTTTTCTCCCGCTTTCCTCCGTTTGGAGTCAAGTAACACCCAACTCCTCAAAATGCATTCTGGGTTCCATTGACATGTGCTGTGATTGTCTTACATCATGTGATGTGCATGGGATGCAGTTCATAAACTGTGAGTTTTCTTGTTACATTCATGCAACACACTGTATGGGCAAAGTCTGAAGATCTTTTGTTATTTTGAGCAGATAGTGGCCTAAGGCGTAGTTATTCCTCCATATTGTCTCTGTTCCTCTGAGCTGTTTAGAGATTATGTGTGATTTTGCAAACTCATGTACTTTGTCTAGTTGCTAACTATGTACGATAACACAGGTGGTACATCGCAAGGAAGCACTAATAACCTTGAAGGGTATGGGAGGTTAACCTTGAAGAGATTGCAAGATAATAATGGTGAGATAGCCAAGTGTGGTATGATGTTCAGTATATCTCAAAATATAAACAAGCTATATAAATAAAAATGTAATGCTTGTTTGTGGGATTAACATAACTCAAAAACCACTGGATAAATTGACACCAAATTTGGACACAAGACACCTATCAAGCCAACAAGTGACCATCACTCAAAAAATTGATTTTGTCAATGATTAGTTGGGGGAGGGCACCAAAATACTGTTTGCTTACCGTTGAAAATTACCTAGGGCCGCCTCTGGCCATGAGGTTCACTGGCAGAACATGGGCCTGCCACTATCTGAACCAAGCTTTCCTACCAATAGGATCATGTGCCAGGTGAGATCTTTCCTTCTGACTTACAACACTGTTGAATTCCTCTCCAGGCAATGAGGCCATCATTCCTGCTGTGAAAATAGTACTGGAATAGCAGTCCATCACAGTTCTGGTCTAATGCACAACCGCCATTGACACATCTCTCCTGTTTCATCATGCCTAATTGAAGAAGTCCTTAATCTTGTGCATACCTCCCTTTTGAAACTCATAGGATTCACCTATCTAATGAAAAACACATCTCTTAAGCCTGCCTCCCTTTTCCTCCCCATTGTGACTCACTCAGTATATATAATCTCATTGACATTGTGTGCAGGAAAACACCATACTCAGAAGGTGCAGTTAGGTAACTGTCCCTCTAAATAAAATTATTGAAAACAAAGTTCACAGGGAGAAAGGGCATATACATAAGAAACTAGGAAAATACAGACTAAACTAGCAGGACTGGTCTACCTAAAATCTGTCCTGAGAAAACTGGGAGAGCAGCTGAACTTTGGTCCCTTCCTGGAGCTCTGTGGAGCTGGTCAAGATGGATGGGTGGAGAAGAAGAAAGACTCTGTGGAGCTGGTCAAGATGGATAGGTGGAGAAGAAAAATGACTCAAAACAAGCAGTATGCCACATTTATTTATTAATTTATGAAAACAGGGCCTTGACTGACAGCTGCCACAGTAAATGGGAGATTCACATGTACAAACACCTTGCTGGGTCAATGAGCCCTAGCACCACCTATGGATAGATGTTCAGGTTTAAAGTCCCCATTGTCATTCCCTTGCTTTACTTTTGTTTATTGCAATTCGCCAACCATGTGTACTAATCATGATGTGTAATGTATATGTATGTATTTTCCATTACCCTTTTCATGTATATAAGGCTCTGGGCCATATTAGTTTTTCATATATACTGTATTTTGGTGATTACTTTTCGAAAACAAGTACATGTCAGTTGTCAAACATGTTCACAAGCTGCATCAACAAGCTATCTCCATTCCAACTCCCAAATATTTGAACCTGGACTGAAATTATCTAGCGGTCAGCAACACTCTGTGTGTGCTCATGCTATTCTGACTTGTACCTTGACTCTAAATCAGTGGTTCTCAACCTGTGGGTCCCCAGGTGTTTTTGCCTACAACTCCCATAAATCCCAGTTAGTTTACCTGTTGTTAGGATTTCTGGGAGTTGAAGGCCAAAACATCTGGGGACCCACAGGTTGAGAACCACTGCTCTAAATGCTCCAAACTTGAGCTAAGCTGGGATTGTCATATAAAAGAGGGGGCGAGCTTGGGCCGCTTCCTTCCACACAGCTGAATAAAATCCCACATTGTCTGCTTTGAACTGGGATATATGGCAGTGTGGACTTAGACAACACAGTTCAAAGCAGGCATTGTGGGATTTTCTGTCTTGATGTTCTGAGTTATATGACTTGTGTGGAACGACCCTTGCTTGCTTCTGCTCTGGAGATTTAGGGCATGGAGCAATGGGTTCAAATTGCCAAAAAAAGAGTCCTGGTGGTATTTGACAGTGGAATATGCTGCCTCGGAGCATGACGGAATCTTCTTTTCTGGAGGTTTTTAAGCAGAAACTGGATGGCCATCTTTTGGGTGCTTTGATTCTATATTCCTATATGTCAGGGGGTTGGACTGGATGGGCCTTGGGGTCTTTTACAATTTTATGGTTCTATGAACTTTTCTGAGTTCTTTAGTAGAAAAACAGCTTTTCCAGTCTCCCACCCACACACCGTGGATCTACAATAACACTTGGCATTTCAGAACAAAGCTCGGAACTGCCATTTCCACCTATTCCAGCCCAGACTAGGATTCGGGTAGGGAGGAAGATGGAGCATGAAACAAATCTCCCTGGAGATGCCGAATAAGCTTCCCGGATCGCTAACACTAGTGGTGACACGCGCCAGACAAAGGAGCTGGCATTCTATAAATGAGGCAGCAGGCAGGGATCAGCAATTGGCTGGATTGTCAGGAGAGAGGAGCGCCTGCATTTCGGAGCAGTCTGTGAGAGCAAAGTGCTCAGAGGGTCACAGCCTCACTTCTGCCGCATGCGAACACTTCTGCAGCGTCCACTTGCACCATCTTTGGAGAAAAGGTAGGTCGCAAGCTTTGCTCCATCCTTTTCTTTGAGCAGGTTCGTCTTTCTGATAACTTTCCTTCAATGTGTGTGCATACATGTTCAGATTTGAAAAGCATGGTTTATGGCACTGCAGGGAATTTTATGGGCATCTGTTTCCCCAACACTGGGTTGTATCTGTTTTCCCAACACTGGGTTGTATGTGCAGGTGAAAAAGAAAATCAAGCTCTTTGGCATTCTGATTTTTGAGACCAAACTCCGACTTGTGTCAAAATGCCACTACTTGACAGGTAGCTAAATTCAGGAATGAAGTCGGACTCCATACCTTTTGCTGTTGCTTTTGACAGTCTGTAAGCACTGCAGTTGGAATCTGACTGTGGTATGATCCATTTTTTTTAATTTTTATTGGTCTGAGTGGCATTTCTTAGATGAATTTTACATGCTGTAAAATAAAATGAAATATCAACGAGCCAATGCTTAAGCTTTGTAATAGTAAAGAAAACCTTTTTTAAAGCATTTGTTAACATTTAATGTCATGGAGAATTTCTGTGTTGTTATTATTCTTCCATCTCAAAATTAATGGAAAGAAAATTGTATTCATAGGATTTAAAGCATGTCACTATGTGAATACGATTGTCTTTTTCACACTCTACATGCCACTGCATGATTGATTACTATGCCACCTAAAAGCTTCACTCTCTTAAACCAGTTTTATAATTTGAATTTCGTATACACATGTTTTTCTCGTCTTTAATAATAATAAAAAACCTCAAATGCACAGAATGTATTCCTTTGAATATTTCCCTAGGTTTTAAAATAATAGTTTTCCTATGTTACTACAAGAGGCATAGTTATAGATTTCTCACTTTGTATACCTGTAATTACTGTAAAGACACCCTCATCTCAGCTGAACACATTATATGAAAACAGCTATTGAGATCAGTGGGTGTATTTTCATATAAAGTATTTCAATGATTTTCATATAAAGTATTTCAATGAATATTTCCAGATAATATATCTGGAAATAAAGGAAGTTTAATTTATTTTTTGAACTACATGACAGTCGCAGTCCTGTATTCTCTTGTATACACTACAAGGTGCATAAACATTTCTGATTCATTTTCAGACAATGAAGTTTTGTTTTATTTTATTTTGTCCATTTTCCTATGTAATATTAAAAAGATAACAATAACAAAACAAGAGTATAGTCATTGGGTGGAAGATCACCAATGAATATTTATTTATTTATTTATTTATTTATTTAAAACATTTATATACTGCCCATCTCACCCCGCAGGGGACTCGGGGCGGAGCACAACATATATACGGTAAACATTCAATGCCTGGACATAAAACCATAAATATATACAAATATTTAAATCACTTATATTCACATTAAAAGTTGCTTATAAACCATCTCTCGACACCATTTTGCCTACTAGAGACTGTAGTCCAGAGAAAGCAGCTGGCAAAGCCACCTTTATGTTTTCTTTGCCAAGACAGTGGTTCCCAACCTGTGGTCCGTTGACCACCAGTGGTCCACAAGATTTAAAATGTGGTCCGCAGCCTCACCGTTACTACACTTGCAACAGTGTAGTACACTGTTACTACACTGTTGCAACGGGATTGATTTTGCAAAACCCTCTTATAGTGCCAAGGCTTATTAAATATGGTTTTCTGTGGGTGAGCAGATGACGACTACTGGGTGGCATATGTTCTGTATCAGAAACTAGAGCTGATGTGGCCAATCCAATGCAATTTTCTGAATCAGCACCCCAAACAACCAAACCGAATCTAAAGTTGACCAAAAGCTGATTCATTACCCTTTTGGTACTAATGTTGGAGAGTAGTCCCTGGTCAAAGTAGTCCCTGGTCAAGTGGTTCCTGGTCAAAGTGGTCCCTGATCAAAGTGGTCCCTGGCCAATATTGTCCCTGGTCAAAGTGATCCCGAGGCAAGTGGTCCCTGGTCAAAGTGGTCTCTGGTCAAAAAAAGGTTGGGAACCAGTGACCTAAGAGAAGCTTATGAAACTCATAAGGTTACCATAACTTAACAAGAAACTTGAAGTAACATACAGATATAGGTAAGGAATAACCTACAGGCACCAGATCCCATCTGATCTTGGAAGCTAAGCAGAGTCAGTTTGGGTTAGTTCTTGATGGGAAAACAGCTAACGATATCAGATAGGCCAGTGGTTCTCAACCTGGATGTAAATATTTTGCAGGAAGCAACAGCACTGGAGTCCCTAGGCTGAACTGGGACTTGGGCATTTGGGGAGGAATCATTTAAGCCTTCCCATTTGTTTTATTTCTAATGAAAAATTCCCTCCCACAGCTGCTATTTCTCTTGCCAAGAAAACTCGCATTTTCCTAATACAACAAACTAGATAAAGAGCAGCAGCCATTTTTATGGGAGAGTGGCAAGGGGGGGGGGGAGAGAATAAAACTGACCCATGTCACCATCTCTGGATATGCTCTTTCACTGGTGATTTTTCTGCAATAGTTCAGAGGACAGAGGAGCTATTTCTTGAACCTCCATTGCTATATCATATTTGACCCTAAAAAAAGGATGAAGCTTAATATAATGTGGACAGACCCTTTGGGAGCAGGAAAATTCAGTGCAACTCCCTGCAATTGAGATTGCATTTTCCAGAGCTTCTATTTCCTATGGACCATTGTTTGTCTCATCCAAACCAAAGGGTGTGTCATAAAGAACAGGCTGGGTTGTTGTAAGTTTTTTCGGGCTATACGGCCATGTTCTAGAGGCATTCTCTTCTGACATTTCGCCTGCATCTATGGCAAGCATCCTCAGAGGTAGTGAGGAGAGAATGCCTCTAGAACATGGCCATATAGCCCGAAAAAACCTACAACAACCCAGTGATTCCGGCCATGAAAGCCTTCGACAATACAAAGAACAGGTTGTTTCGGGGGACCTGATTTGGGCTTGGGCCCCATAGAGACCATTTTTACCCATTCCAGAAGATTAAATCCCAAATCCAATCCCTCTTCTTATCTTCACTAGCTTCCTTCTTTCTTTCTTACTTGCACTCCCTCGTTTATCTATATTGTATGCTAATTTTGTCCCCATCCTTTATCTGGAATCGACATCACAATATTTTTTGAAAAACCTACTCGAATCAGCAGATAACTCTTCTTTGGATAAGAGGATTTTGACAGCAGTTCTTCCTTCCAGTCCTTTAAATAACAGCCTCGATAATTGGGGCGCTAATCTTAGGTTGTTTGTTTAATTCCATTTCTAATTGCTATGTAATTCTGACATAAAAGCGGGCTTCATTAGGAGACCTAAGTATTATTTAGGATGCAGCCCCATTAATTTCGGCGGCACTTAATTGCAGCCTAATCACCCTAATCCAAAATTCCACAAGGGTCCTTGCCTGCAACAGTCAGCAGCAAATGAAGGAAGTAATGCCGTTGTCATCACTGGGGTCTTTTTTGCCTCAAGCCCCGAAGCCTCTAGGTTGGGAGCCATGACTTTATATTCAGTCTTACTTAAAAATGTGCACCCAAACACACACATTTTCTCCTTTCAAATTAAAAGGAAAACCAGAGTAGGCCTATGTTGTTCTTTAGAAACATTTCCTGTAAAGCTTATTCTTTTTTTTAAAACACATAAAACACATGAGTCTCCTTGTGGAGAGAAAAAGCAGGGTATAAATAAACATAATAAACATAATAAACATAATAATAATAATAATAATAATAATAATATCATCACACAGTCCTCGACGCTTGGGAAGTATTCGACTTGTGATTTTGTGATACAAAATTCAGCATATAGATCTCATTTGCTGTGACATACCGTGTTTTTGTATCAGTATAATAATAATAATTTTTGTGTCAGGAGAGACTTGAAAAACTGCAAGTCTCTTCTGGTGTGAGAAAACTGGCTGTCTGCAAGGACGTTGTCCAGGGGATGGCCGAATGTTTTACCATCCTGTGGGAGGCGTCTCTCATGTACCCACACGGGAAGCTGGAGCTGACAGACAGGAGCTCACCTTGCTCCCCGGATTCGAACTGCTGACCTTTCAGTCAGCAGTCCTGCCAGCACAAGGGTTTAACCTATTGTGCTACTGGGGATTCCATAATAATAATAATAATAATAATAATAATAATAATAATAATAATATGCCCAAATCCCCATCTTCTTCATTGACACTAATAATTATATTGTAACATCATTGGGTTGCATTTGTTTCTTTGGCTTTCCAGGACAAATATTTGATCTCTTTGAAACGATATTACTAATTATATATATTTTTTCTTGCAAATATACACGGTACTTATTATAGATTTGTCATTGGAATACATTATAAGATAAATCTTTTTGGAAGAAGGGAGATGCTTTGGGTCTTCAGTCTGAGAAAAAGTGGAATAATAATAATAATAATAATAATAATAATAATAATAATAATAATAGGAAACAGTATTCCATTTCCATAATAAGCTCCATTTTGCCAAATTATCGAAACTGGCATTCTAAGCATACATTATGTTGAGCTCCACTGCTCTCTTCTATTTTAACACACCTCTCTGCCTGTTAATTTTTCCATCTGATTGAAACAGTAGTGCTTATGGCACCGAGAAATTGCAAGTAGGTCTTAAACTGTGACAAGGTTCAGAATGAGGTATTTCCCCCATATAAATATATGATAGCATAACCCATAAACATATATTTGAACATGCTTAGGCTGCCTTAATTTCACACTTGGAAAATTACAGCCGGTTTACAAACCCCTGGAATTAGGACCTCTTTCACACAACTGAATAAAATCCCACATTATCTGCTGGAATATATGGCAGTGCAGACTTGGATAACCCAGTTCAAAACAGATATTGTGGAATTTTCTGCCTTGGTATGCTGGGTTTTATGTCTGTGTGGAAGGTCCTGGAGGCAGGGTTTCCAAATCAGAAAGGGTGGTTCTATTTGAGTCCACAAAATATTGTAAGCCGTTTAATTTATCTGTGCCGACTCAAATTAATATTGGATCTATTGTTTGTGA